TGATCTGCCAAACCTGGCTTCTGCTACCATTTGGTTAGTGCCCTCACTAAAAGTTTTGCATTTACAGCACTTTTGTTTGATAGTTGAAGCAGACAGCTTGGATTCTCAGACCATCTAAGCACTAGCCTCACTGAAATAATCAGGGGTTTTTGATCCTTAGTCAATAGACACTTGACATGCAGGGTGCATGCACAAAAGATATGAATCACGTGGAAAATTCCTTTCCTCTGAGTGTGGTGGCACATGGTCACCATATCCATTCTGCTATGAAATTCTATGCCGAACATCAAGGCAAGAAAGTGCTGATTGCCAGCATATCCTCAAATACACTAAGAAATAGCCACTGAAACCACTTAAAAATGATCCAGAGAAAAGTATGTGTGTTTCTGTTTTAATTGTCCACGAGAGTCCACCTCTGTTGTTAAAGCTGGTATTGTTTCCCCCCTCTTGTTAGGGTCTCTTATTTAGTCATGACAGATACTTGTTGAGAATTTCCTACTGTGCTGATTTCTTATGCTGAAAATGATGTTTCAGATTTCTTTCCTTTTTCCCCTTCACTTCTTTGTTCTTCTCTCCCATCTTTTCTTCTTTCCTTCGTTCCTTCGTCCCTCCTTCCCTCCCTCCGTCCTTCCCTCCCTCCCTCCCTTTCCCATTGGCAGCTCATTGACATGTGGCATCAAGAGGAAAAAGATTAGATACAATTCCTGAACTGTCCCCCAATAGACAATGAGTATTTAAAGAGCACTGGGTTGGATTATTTTCTAGAGGCATAGAAGTCAAATACTTCTTTGAGTACATACCTAATCTATTTTATTAGTCTGTATTCATTGTACAAAACATCTGGCTTCATCTCACCACTTAGGTGCAAGCCCATTCATCCCAGCTCACTGCCAGCCCCACTGCTGGGCCCTGTCCTTAACCCCAGCAGACTTGCAGGGTGCAGGCCACACAATTGTAGAATATTATTAGTTGAAGATGTGCTACATCCAATTATACTGTGGAACATTTGTTTAATGATGCAAAGATGTGTTGCATTCTTTTATATTGCATTTGTTTAACTCTGTGAAGCTCTGTTATTTTGCCTGTCTAACAAACCTGATTGGTCTAATAAAGTGCTGAATGGCCAATAGCAAGGCAGAAGAGAGAAACAGGTGGGGCTGATGGGCAGAGAATAAATAGGAGGAGAAATCTAGAGAAGAGGAGGAGAGGAGGAGGCCAGGGGTTAGCCACCCAATTACACAACCAGTCATGGAGTAAGAAGGAAATAAACATATCTAGAATAGAGAAAGGTAAAAGCACAGAGGCAAAAGTTAGACAGGATAATTTAAATTAAGAAAAGATGACCAGAAACAAGGCAAACTAAGGCCAGGTACTTATAAGTAAGAATAAGCCTCTGTGTATTTATTTGGGAGCTGGATAGCAGACCCCTAAAGAGTTAAGCAAAAATCAACTACACCACACCAGTCAGAAAAGGTGAGTGACCCACCTGCTAGCTGAATTGTCCTGCTTCTTAGATTCTGCTCCCCAAATCATTACCCATAGTCCTAGTTCAGGTGCCTATGGAGTCCAGAGGCCCACAGCTGGAGTTATAGGTTGTGAGCCTCTCAACACAGGTGCTGGGAACCAGGAAGATCCTCAAGAGCAGTGCACACTTTTAACTACTGAGCATTTCACAAGTGCCTAGATCATCTGATTTCATTCCCTTCCCTACTGCTTGATCCTGTCTCTCACCTCCCACCTACCATTAGCCTCACTTTTCTTCTCAAAGAGTTCCATGTCATCTTTAAAACTTTGTTCTTTACATCTGGATTCAGCACATGAGAAAAAAAAAAAACATGTGATGTGTCTTTCTGAGTCTGGCTTATTTCACTTAACACGATGACCTCTAGTTCCTTTGATTTTCCTGAAGTGACAGAACTTCCCTTTCCTTGGTGGTGTAACAACACTCACTGGTGTATGTGCCACATTTTCTCATTTTTGTTATGGAGATCCAGCTTTTACCTTTTAATGCAAAATGGGGATGATATGAAAACCTAAGTTTACAGTGGGCATTTCACACAGTGCATGAGAAACTGTGAAGGGCAGTGATGACCCATGGAAAAACTCTGCTCAGCCAGAGTTGGTCATCCATGAGTCTAGTGACTATGGCCTGCACCTGGAGTGCCTCCTGCAGCTCATTCTGGTGAATCTGAAGCCTGAACCCATTGTGGAGCTTCCAGTGTGCAAATGGGGAAGGAGATGTCTGGAACCATGTCTGCAGAAGCTCCACTCTCTCTTTTTGCCTCACCCACAGTACCTTATCCAAGATAAGAAAAGTGAATTTTTCAGCCTTTTGTATTTTATTCAGCTTTTCAAATATTTTCTTAAAATAATTTTTCAGATTGTCTGATCTCTTTAAACAGTTAAGTTTATGGAATGGCAACTATATAGTTTGTGTTAAGTGTCAAGAATCTATGTCTGTTAGTACACAGAGATTATGTAACTCATTGTTATCACTTGCTTCTATGAATTTTCTAGCCACCATTTGAGACTACACCATACTTCTTTCCCATCTTGCAAAGAAAATGAGAAACCATAAGTTTTCATATTATGTGTTTCCATTTTCTTTGAGATTTTGAAATACGATTTTTAAATGAGGTTTGTAAATCACTCCCCACCTGTTGGGTCACTGCCCGGGATAATTTATGTTGGCTTCAGGGAGAGGAAACCATTTTCCTGGTTTTCCTGTGAACCATCTGGGCAAGCATCTGAATGAATTGTGTGTCAGTCTTTATATGAAATGTTGTTCTATCTTCATTATAATTCTATTGTATCTACACAAAGAAGCCATGCAGTGGTAGTACAAACATCTTGTGTGTGTGTGTGTGTGTGTGTGTGTGTGTGTGTGTGTGTATGCAAGTATGTGCATGTGATTGTGCATTGAAAACTAGAAGAGTATTTTTTTTTAGGCAAGTCTTGATAAGTAAACATATAGTGTCTAAAAATGTAACAGAGGAGTAACTCCCATACAGATGGTTCAGTATCTTGGAGGACTCTTTGAAACTCACCTGGGCAGAGAACTCTCAGCGTACATTGGAAGGTGTATTTTGTAAGACACCATGAGGAAGCTGAAAACCATTTTCCAAAGTGCACTGTGTTTGCTTAGGGTAAGCAGGACAGTGTGGTGGGATGGAATTAAGGTACCAGCAGGAGACTAGCAGTCAGTGGGATAATAAGACAAATGCATTGTGGGTTACTATGGCAACTGGGGGCCCCAGCTGTTCCTCTGCCCAGCTTGTTGTAGAATGGCCCACCTGTGCCAAGTCTCTCCCTGCTTTAAAGCAAATGCTTTGTCACTCCATTTCACTGTTCCACAGACAGCAGCAGATGAGACAGGAAGCAACACCAATTACTCAAGCTGAGTGGAGCTCGCTCCCGCACTTAGGAATACTGCTTTTCTAATGGATGCTGTCATTTTTCTCTTAAGAAGATACATTTAAGATGAGCACCAAAAATTCACTTTTTCCTGCTACATTTGCAATTCATTAAAGTCTGTGGGGGTGATGTGTACAGGAAGGGAGTTGATTGGATGTCTAGCTGTGGTCTGGGGACAGCCATGTCCTTTCTGCTGGTGGTGATGAATGTGTAGGGAGAACGCTAGTGACTTAGGAAGTTCCCAGAGTCCCATCACCATTGGATTTCTGGGTTCTTCTCTTTTCCATTTTCTTCATTTCATGGTTTCCCTGTCTGTACAATGGGGCAAAGGCAGAGCTTAGCTTGTTTTGCCTTTTGTCAGGACCAAATCAGCTAATTTATATTAGAAATTCTTGTAGTCAACAATAATACCCACTGCTATCACAATTATCCATTTATTTAAAAATATTTATTTTATTTTTATTTATGTGTAGATGTGCATATGTGTGCGGTGCCTGTGCCAGAGGGAGTTGAATCCCCTAGAGCAGGTCTTTCAGATGTTATAAGATTCCCAACATGGGTCCTGGGAACTGAACATAGGTCCTCTGCAAACACAGTGTGTGCTTTTACTGCTGGCTTACTGTTCCAGCCCCAATTAGCCCCTTATTTCACTTCAGATCTACATTCCTCCTGTGGGCCACAGCCTGTGATGTGACAAAACCTAGAACATGTCTTCTGCTCATTTCCTTCCATATTTGGTCTTGGTACGGTTGGATTATAGAAGGCAGGGCTATTCTGTTCTTAGGAGATCTTTGTGGTTGAAGGTCAAGGCCATAAAACATGTCCAAGGGACACAGAGACTACCATTGCTTCTCTCATAACCATCGGAGAGGTAAGTCGCCATGATGAAGCCTGTTGGGGAGCCCAGGGCCTAGGACAGTGAGACAGGGTTCACATCCTACTTCCTCCTGCTATTGTACCCTAGCAAGACATTGTTGACTTTACTGAGACTTGCAGGCTCCTGTGAGAAGTGTCTTTATAAGGCAGCTTACAGGAATGCACAGGATTACTGAGTATGGAATATAACACAAACAAAGCACCCAATAAGTCCATGGCTCTCCCTGCTGGGCACTCACAGTGGTAGCTCTCATTATGGTTACCATTACTACTGGTGCTGGAATAATATAATCATTGGCATAAAATTTATTTTAATGCGACAGAACGCTGGGTATAGTCTCTTACTCTACAGGGCACAGATGTGAATGAACACGCAGGGTGTAATTTCCTCTTTGTGTTCTGTTACATAAGTAGTGCTAATACTGGACTAGAACAGATTTTTGTATTGCCAAATAATGGGACAGTCAATGGCAGCACAAGGAAAATGTGCTAAGTACACAGTGAATTCATTAACACGTTTTCCAGCCAAATACATGGAAGTGTATACAATCCGTTATTCTAAGCACCAAGACAGCTATGGAGTGAGAACACACTTTGCAATGCAAAGTTTGGAAAAAAACCCTTCAAACTTTCTGTGCAAAGTTAAATAAAATATTTACAATGCGATTCCTGCTAGAGCAGACGGTTTTCCTAAGATTTGCTTTTGTTACCTGTGCTGGAGCCACAAGTTCCAACTCGGAAGCCGACTCGGAGTTGAGGGCACTCTTCCCAGTGCTGAGCTCTGGCTGAGATCTATGTTCTGAGGACCTGCAATGAGACATTGAGGACATTGGTGTGCAGTAAGAACAAGCTCGGCCAAAAACCCAGCAGGAACCAGGCTCTGGGCAGAATTCAGACAGAAGTGAACGTTTGTGAGTTTTCTTCATAATTGTCACTTCCCTAATTTAAACAGCTATGGACTTTTTTTTTTTAAACTTGGAATCCAGATGAACCATGGGCAAAGAGGACATGAACACGATGGCATTTTTCATATAGGAAATTCCGTATTTATGAAAATTGTGTTCTTGTTGGAGACCATTCATAACGTAGATCTCTGTGTATCCAGCTTGCCACAATATGCAGATATGCATGAGTGCAAAGGAGACAGAAACAGGAGGCTGCCCTTTGCAAATCTTTACAAACATTGGTTGGTTTTCCTCAACTTGACACAAACTAGAGTCACCTGGGGAAAGGGACCCTCAGTTGAGGAATTGCCTCTATCAGATTAGCCTGTGAGCACGATGTGGGACATTTTCTTGATAATTATTGTGAGAGGACCCAGTCCACTATGGACAGTGCCACCCATAGGAAGGTGGTCCTGGGTTGTATCAGAAAGCAAGCTGAGGCAAGGCTGAGAGCAAGCCAGTACTCAGTGCTCCCCTGCGGTCTCTGCTTCTTTCTGTTGCTGCCCCTGTGATGGACAGTGACCTGAGAACTGAACTAAATCCTTTCCTTCCCAAGTTGCTTTGTTCATAGTGTCTTATCACAGCAACAGGGAAAGTCACTAATCCTGTTGAAATTCAAGTGACCACATTGTTTCCTGAGTATCCATGATTCATCTGTAATTACTACACTGAATAGCAGTGGATGATCGAGAGAGCAGGAAAGCTGTGTAACCAGGAACAACTGATACACCCCTGTTAACTGACAGATTAGCTACATGTTTAGAAAATTATTATAACCAGGACCTTCTCAAATCCTTTCTGATTTTGCTTCTTTCTGTCTCTTCCTTCCTTCCTTCCTTCCTTCCTTCCTTCCTTCCTTCCTTCCTTCCTTCTTCCTTCCTTTTCTCTTTCTTTCTTCCTTTCACAAATTAAAGTGATTGGTAGAAGTGATAACATATAGAAGTTTATTGTTCAGGGTCTCAGATATCTGGATTAACTGAGTCATTTCCAGACACCAAGGGCACACCCGTATAGTCAGTGGAAGCTTCTGTTCTCTAGAATCAGGACATCTTACCACAGAAGCTCTTTGGATCCAGTTCTAGATGAGCATGACTTCCTTTCAGCCATGAGATGCCCCTTGCTGGTTCTGTCACCATGGAACTTGACATCATCCCATTTTTCCAGTTGTGTTTGAATGTCTACTAAGGAAGAAGAAAGTGGAAGAGAAAGCCCAGGGCCAAGCATGAGGGTGTAGATAGATAGAAAAGAGATCGATTAGGATTGAGATTCCAGGCAAACTATAAATAATCCATGCTCTCAAGATCCAAAGCCAACATTAGTCTTCTTAAGGGTGCATGAAAATGAATCAAAACATAGTCAGAAAACAAGGCTTATTAAAAATAAACTCATTGCTTTTACAGTTGGAGCACTCATGAATCTATAATGTATTTACCTGACACACAGATGCATGCACGCACTCTCTCTCTCTCTCTCTCTCTCTCTCTCTCTCTCTCTCTCTCCACACACACACACACACACACACACACACACACACACACACACACAGA